TGATACACTGCTAGACATAATGTTTTTTGTAATAGTCAGCTCAATGTTTAATTTAATAATTAATTTATATGATGGCTGACTCGATCGTGTGCATCACATTTCTATTGAGATATTTCGCAAATATGAATTCAATCCTTGTAACATTTTTTAGTTCATTTTAACAGTTTTAGTAACGACAGTGTAACGACAATAGCAACAGTAACGACAGTAGCAACAGTATCAATAATAACAGCAATAACAAAAATAGTAACAGTAATAACAACGACAGCAACAGTAACGATAGTAGAAATAGCACAGTAATAACGACCACAGCAACAGTAAGGATAGCAATAATAGTAATAGTAACGATAGTAACGACAGTAACGACAGTAAAAATAGTAGCAGCAATAATGACAACAGCAACATTAACAACAGTAACGACAGTAGCAACAGTATCAATAATAACAGCAATAACGACAGTAGGAACAGTAGCAACAGTAACGATAGTAACAACAGTAACAGCAATAACGACAACAGCAATAGTAACAATAATAAAAACAGTAACAGTGATAACGACAATAGTAACAGGAACGATGGTAAAAATAGCACAGCAATAACGACAACAGGAAGAGTAAGGACAGCAATAATAGTAACAGTAACAACAGTAGCAACAGTAACAATAGTAGCAACACTGATGACAACAGTAACGACAGTAGCAACAGTATCAATAATAACAGTAATAACGACAGTAGGAACAGTAGGAACAGTAACGATAGTAACAATAGTCACAGCAATAACGACAACAGCAACAGTAACAATAATAAAAATAACAACAGTAATAACGACAACAGCAAGAGTAAGGACAACAATAATAGTAACAGTAACGGCAGTAGCAACAGTAACGACAGTAACAATAGTAGCAACACTGATGACAACAGTAACGACAGTAGCAACAGTATCAATAATAACAGTAATAACGACAGTAGGAACAGTAGGAACAGTAACGATAGTAACAATAGTCACAGCAATAACGACAACAGCAACAGTAACAATAATAAAAATAACAACAGTAATAACGACAACAGCAAGAGTAAGGACAACAATAATAGTAACAGTAACGGCAGTAGCAACAGTAACGACAGTAACAATAGTAGCAACACTGATGACAACAGTAACGACAGTAGCAACAGTATCAATAATAACAGTAATAACGACAGTAGGAACAGTAGGAACAGTAACGATAGTAACAATAGTCACAGCAATAACGACAACAGCAACAGTAACAATAATAAAAATAACAACAGTAATAACGACAACAGCAAGAGTAAGGACAACAATAATAGTAACAGTAACGGCAGTAGCAACAGTAACGACAGTAACAATAGTAGCAACACTGATGACAACAGTAACGACAGTAGCAACAGTATCAATAATAACAGTAATAACGACAGTAGGAACAGTAGGAACAGTAACGATAGTAACAATAGTCACAGCAATAACGACAACAGCAACAGTAACAATAATAAAAATAACAACAGTAATAACGACAACAGCAAGAGTAAGGACAACAATAATAGTAACAGTAACGGCAGTAGCAACAGTAACGACAGTAACAATAGTAGCAACACTGATGACAACAGTAACGACAGTAGCAACAGTATCAATAATAACAGTAATAACGACAGTAGGAACAGTAGGAACAGTAACGATAGTAACAATAGTCACAGCAATAACGACAACAGCAACAGTAACAATAATAAAAATAACAACAGTAATAACGACAACAGCAAGAGTAAGGACAACAATAATAGTAACAGTAACGGCAGTAGCAACAGTAACGACAGTAACAATAGTAGCAACACTGATGACAACAGTAACGACAGTAGCAACAGTATCAATAATAACAGTAATAACGACAGTAGGAACAGTAGGAACAGTAACGATAGTAACAATAGTCACAGCAATAACGACAACAGCAACAGTAACAATAATAAAAATAACAACAGTAATAACGACAACAGCAAGAGTAAGGACAACAATAATAGTAACAGTAACGGCAGTAGCAACAGTAACGACAGTAACAATAGTAGCAACACTGATGACAACAGTAACGACAGTAGCAACAGTATCAATAATAACAGTAATAACGACAGTAGGAACAGTAGGAACAGTAACGATAGTAACAATAGTCACAGCAATAACGACAACAGCAACAGTAACAATAATAAAAATAACAACAGTAATAACGACAACAGCAAGAGTAAGGACAACAATAATAGTAACAGTAACGGCAGTAGCAACAGTAACGACAGTAACAATAGTAGCAACACTGATGACAACAGTAACGACAGTAGCAACAGTATCAATAATAACAGTAATAACGACAGTAGGAACAGTAACGATAGTAACAATAGTCACAGCAATAACGACAACAGCAACAGTAACAATAATAAAAATAACAACAGTAATAACGACAACAGCAAGAGTAAGGACA